CGTTTTATCCCGGGGAAGATCGGGGCGTGGAATATTTTTGAGAAAATAACGACATCCTCCGTGGTCGTCGATGCACAATGTTGAACGGCTCGTTTCGAGCAGATATCGGGGAAGAAGGCAGAACTGTTTCAAAAGGAAGCGTTGTGCAACGATTTCAAAGATATTTCGTAGAGCAGGGTGAGATATAAGGGTGGTCCATTTGAAGCTATCCAAATATCCCCATCAGACGATGCAACAAATGTTTCGTATGCAATTTTTGCACGTACAGTTTGTCTGCTTGCACGACGCCTAAAATTAAAATTAAAATTAAAATTAAACGTGAGATTTGTTTCCATTGAGAGACGGTGAAGAACCTCCGAACGTAAGTAAACATGTTCTAGAAGACCATTAAACCGACAAATTGCTCTTCTAAAGATACTTTTGAGATAGCAAACATGTTTACTTACATTCGCAAGTTTTTATCCGCTGCTTCCAAGGCTTGTGATTCCGATAGGAATAAATTTCACGTGTAATTTTTATTTTTGAAGCGAAGAAAAAAATATCGACGACTTTAAAAACCCCTTAAAAAAGTGACCAGGTAAAATTCTATTTAGATGTACCAGCGGTGGGATATCTGTAAGGCTCTTTTTCTAGGAAACCTGCAATTGCAGTGCCAAATTGCTGAACTGGAAAGTGGTTTCTCGTTTATTTTCCGACGCGGTTAAGATCGCATAAAAATGCTATAAAAGAAATATTGTACAACTTTCCTCGACCCTAAAAATTGCTTCGGGAGTTGACATATTAAAGAAGTGCAAGTTATAGGAGTTGACACTTTTTGTTTTAGTGGACGCTCGGGGAAAGCGCTAAGAAAGTAGGTGACGAAGCACGTTTCGTTGAACGAACTCCTTAATTGAGGATAAAAGTTTGAACGATAACAGAGAATAACCGGGTATTTTGATCGAACGCATCGATGGACGAACGCGTTAGAAAAATAAGCGGTCGTTTAATAATTATATTAGAAAACCCAGCCACGAAAATAAATCAATGATTTTCTAAAAGGAGATAATATATTCGCTTCCTTTGCTATGCAAGCCGCAAATTATTTAACATATTAAGTGACAACGTCATGCGCGTATGATTAATATCAAAATTGGACAGTAATTAATTACTTTGTGATTGTTTTTGTTATTGATTAATTGAAATAATTATGGCGGTCATAATCGCTAATCAATTAATCACCGCCGCTTCAGGTATCACTGGCTTTATAAAATTATTTACTCGACCATATTCAAAAGTGTAATCGTTTCATAATTAACGCTTGATGCGATGGGTATTTACCTTGATTATTTACGTTGTTAATTGTAAGTTTCAGCCAAATTCGTCAAAGCAATGGCATTGGGTTAAATATAAATTATAAATAAGTTTAGATCTGTCCGAGGGAAAGTTTTATGTAATTGGCTCGACAGTTAACGTGTTAATTGAGCGTTACGGAACCTGTCCGCTCTTTTTGTATACAGGCATTAACCACCATTTACGCGATGTTCATTCCGATCGATGCAATTATCAAAACTAATAAATTTAAAAAGTTCGTTTTTAATTCGAGATACGCGATCGACAGAATGCGTGGAAAGATTACAGGTTTTCCCTGGCCTAGATCAGTGTTCATTGGAAGATCGTCGATCTTAAAATTAATTCGCAGTTCCAAAGCAAAAATCGATGTTTCTATTTGACTCTTCGGGTGCACGGATCCTTCAAAATATTTCTGGAAAATGACCACCGACGTTAAGCTCTAGATGACAAAACTTTTCGACTTTCACGCGAGGAAATCATTCAGACTTAATCGAGCACCTTCTCCGGTGGGAATCCCCGTTCAATGGCCGATCGTCGATCGAATTTTAATCGAGTTTCGCGCGCCACGCATCACCGATCCTGCAAACCGTGTGAAAAACAACCCGGAATCGGCGATCGTTTCGTAATTTCTGCTTTATGTAATTGGCGTCGATCGCGTGTAAGCTCGAAAGCGGGAGAAAGTGACGCCCAGCTACCATCGGACGTCGGCCGTCGAGTTTTGAGACGTTCGCGCGTCCCACACGTAGCGGAAAAAGCGTCTCAAGTTTTTCCCGCTCGTCCTTACGATCCTTGCATCCCGTTTCGAATTTCCTCTTGCGCCCCCGTGCATGAAACGTCGATTTCACGCTGCTCGAAGCGTTTTAGAGGATCTATATATAGGGTTGGGTCTACAACTTCGAAACACAAAGCATCCGACAAAAAAATGGCACCGTAACTAATGCTTCGACATTGATGGATTAAGATGTTGCAGACGAGGTCTACGGAATCGTAAGAAATTCCAAATTGCACGTAGAAATTGCAAATATCAACTTTATTTTTTCGATATTATTAAATTACAATACATCTTTCGATTCGATGCCCCGAAGTTTCTTCGAGATTTTCCAAGACACAGTTAAAATCGTTGATTCTTTTAACAATTATTTTCATCTCCATGACGTAAAAATTGATGGATGAAATCTTGTTGCTCTCGAAACTAAAAAAGCTTAACTGTTCAGCGAGAACCACAGCGGTTCCTTTGCACCTCGCGTCGTACAAACTCGTCGAAGGTTAGCCGCGTTTCCGTGGTACAAGTTCCACGGAATTCGTCGGTGTAGGCAAGCGGGAGTCGACCCATTTTCGAGGGCAGATCAATTTTTCCGCGGCATTCGGAGCCTGTAGGAATCTCCGCGGGTCTTGCGGCTTCCTGCTGACATATTTTCCATTGTCTGGCGTCTGCTTACAATTAGCGAAATTGGATCAGCGCGTAGCCGTTCCGAGTGGAAAAGGATCGCCGCGGACGCCGCCTTTTTCTCTGTTTCCGCGTCGTCGGAACTTGACCCGGGCAACTCGTCTTTTATACTCTATCGGAGAAGAAACTCTCGAAAAACAGTAAAACCTTGCGAGATTTACGGACAGAGTTCGGAGAAAGACTTTGTAAAATAAATTACCATATTTGCAACGTTTCTAATTACTTAATATTTTTCCCTGGCAATTTTTAGCAGTGTCTAGACGATTCTCGAGATAACGTCCCGCGATTCAGCGGAACTGTACGGATTTTCGATCGATCGATCGTATTCGATTCCAGTTGCACGTATCCGAACGCGCGCGACAACGTCACGTGTTGCACGCCACGAACCACACGACTACCGTTCGTCCGCGTACACGCGCACGCATTATGCTCGTCGGACGCGGCACGTGAGATCCGGCACTGATTCATCGACGTGGCGCACTCGTCAATTACATTCCCAGCTTGATGGATTCGCGATCCAAGCGATTCAAGACCGCGATTCCAGTTGTCCTTAACCTTTACCACACCGAGGCGAAGCCTCTCAGGGACTCCATTACGGACGCGGGCGAAATTCTTATCTGGATAAAAACTTCCAACAACGAACCAAAGATAAACAGCTCTATTTACCCGTTGCTCGCGGATCCCCGTCCCTGGGGACCAGTTGATCAACCCGCTCGAGGCCACCGATTTTTCGAAATACGAAAAATGACAAAGAAAACCATATTCTTGAGACGAACAGAATTAACCTAGCCCAACACACACTTACTCCTTTGGTCCAGCCATTTATCGCGGACAAACTGAAAGACACCTGATCACGTTACATTTAGGTACTAGCAACAAAGAGATTCCAGGTACAAATACAACTTTTTAACTCTCGGATTAATCTAACAATCCCCTAACGAAACAGACCGAGCACACCATAGTTCGGAACTCCTGAGTTTCTCAGTTGAATTTGTCGAGACAAGGTATGAAAATATATGTTTGGAACTATAGTTCGCGAGCACGTCGAACGACGTTTAAATTCGCGAGGCGGAGTTCGTGAGCGGTGGTGCTTTAGCAAAAGGAAGTTTTCGCCGTGACGCGGTGGCGTGACGACAAACGCACCCTACGTCAGCGTCGTTTATACAATTATCTAATTAACGACGGAGTTTCACCGCGCCATCGAATGGGTACCGAAAACACTTTCCTTTTTGAGAGCCTCTCCGGCCACGAACGAACAACTCGCTGGCGAACGTTGCGATATTCGCGTCACGAAAGCCCGCGTTGACTTTTGTCGTCGGTGAAAGAATGGAAATCTGATCTGGAATGAGAAGTCCCGTAGTCTCTACCGTAGATATGGAATCGTTGCTACATTTAAAATCCGGGGGGGAAGGGGGGCTGTCTGGGAATTAATAGCCGATAACCATAACACCGCAGCCACCGCGTCTGTTAGCCCACAAATCTAGGCAATCCAATTTCTCGCGCCAAGTGCAATCAACGGAGGAAGTTACCTCTGGATATAGAATTGTTGCCGTGCTCCTAACAAGCTCATTGCGATTAAACGTTTTCGATCTGCTTGGTGCTCTCGCGGGAGGGGAATTATAATTTTTAAGAAACACGCGACGAGTCTGCAAAACTATTCATAAGTAGTTCCACGATTGTAGAAAAATTCACGACACGTTTAGTCTCGATGGAATAAATTAAAAAGTATTTCCTCCGAGCGAAAGTAATAGTTTATTAATTGGTTTTTTAATCTAACGTTGTTCTCGGATAACCTTTACGAGTCGCGAGGATTCAAATCTGGGGGTCGAAGACGTTAATATTCGATCGTTCGTAAAGGCTAATAAGAGTCGAACACTTCTTTTTTTTCCCCCTACCTTTCTCGTACGTAATTACGCTCGTCGATAGAGATAGTGACGTAATTGCGGCGTTCCGAGCGCACGAGTTTATTAATGTTTCGATCGAGGAAACTGCAATACTAATAGATAGATCGAGACACACCCGTACTGATATCCGCGATTGCGTAAAACAGTTGCGACGAGTATAATTAAATATTTACGCTCGCCTCGTATACGGAACACATTAGATACCATTACCGTTCGCGGGGCGTGTAAAAAAAGTATTAATAAGCCTGTCGGCGCGCGACATACGTAATTGCCGCGATCATGGAACGTGTATTGACCTTTTGCCTTTCATTCTGTTTCAGGGAAAAATGTCTACAACAACCAGCATGTAGCAATTAAAATGGTAAGTTTCCTACAGTTTTTTTTCTTAACGTACAAAAATACGAAATGAAATTAAATTATATATTCGTGTTCCAACGTCTCTCTTTTCTATTCTTCGCAGGAACTGATGAGGTCGAAGGCACCACAGCTTCATTTAGAATATAGGTTTTACAAATGTTTAGGTACACATGGTGAGTGTCCACGTTTCGTATAATTAATATCCAAAGTATTATGAAAAATTCGCAAACACACCACCGAGCGTGTCGCTGTCAAGATACGAGAGATTTTACGCAGACGATTTCATGCCCCGACGCGTGTTTATTCTAGTCCAGAGCTTCTTTAGCTATGGGTCGCGACCCCTCGGGCGTCGACGTTGAAATTCTTCGGGGTTGCAGAAAATTTTGAAAAGTATAAAATACGCTCTCGCTCCAAAACAGAATATTTTATCTACGTGCAACGAACATGCTTCTTAAAGGCAGTCCACGGAGTGAAATATAGAATAAAATTACACGTTACCTAATAAATTTAACAATTTTGCCTCGCAAGAAAGAATCCCCACGATCCAATTTCGAATTCTCTTTAATTATCGAACAGTGCCTATCCGTGGTGTAAATATGCAACGGGTTCCGACCAGACTAAACACGCGTCGTAGCGTTTTCAATGAGCGTGGTGCACCGTACCGATTACGATTCCACGCTTTGTCTTATGCGTTACGTACTATGCAAATAGAGGGTATACCGGAAGTGTATTACTTCGGCCCGTGCGGGAAGTACAACGCGATGGTGATGGAGCTTCTCGGACCAAGTCTGGAGGACCTTTTCGACCTCTGCGGAAGGAGGTTTACCCTGAAGACGGTTCTGAACATCGCCACACAACTTGTAAGTGAAATTAATCTGTCCGTTTTAACGTACGCCGGATAGCCAACTACACGGATTGTATTTTGATCGAATCGTTTGGCGTTTCGATCCCAGAGGAAAGCTCGAATATTCGTTCGAACTTGCCGATTCGGGAGCAAATGTATTTCGTTCATAATTACGAGATAGGGTCGCTATATTTGGACCGCCATATAAATTGGAATCGCGTTGATAAACCCATGTACATGATTACTAAAATGGCGCCGTTTACCGTGCGCGTTTTCAACGTTCCGATATCACTGAATTTTCGCGTTCGAAAGTGCAACGGTTGATTCGTCATGCGGGAAAATTCAATTTTAACAAGTTTCGTTTAATTTAATACTTTATTCAACGAGTGTATATTGCAGAAATTATCGAATAGATAGCTTCGTTAAAAAATAATATTTAAATTATTATGTAAAAGCTAGAAAAACAGTGTTAGATGTTCCTCCAAATAACTACAAGGTTGTTCTTGAAAGCGATAGCCCAACAAATTGTTTAGACCTTCCTTAGTTCTATTCGAAATGTCAAAGTTAATAGAATGTGCTGTACGGCGTAGGAAAAGGTTGACATTGTACTCATTTAAATAAGGGTCTCGTCCCAGGGAGAGTCGAGCAAATAATAGACTTTATTCGGAAAGAAAGACCCAAGAGAAAACGTCTTTGCGATCAAATATACTCGGGTCAAGAAGAGTCCTCGAGTATCTGATCTTCTATCGTTTGAAAAAGATGAGAAGGTTGTGTCGAATCTAATAATTCCTTAGAGGCGATGTCGCCTGGGGGTAGAAACAATGCGATGGCCTTACAATCTCATTAAAAAAATGAGCTTGAGAAAATCTTCTACCGCTACATGCGACGAATCGCAAGTTGCAAGCTTTTAAATATTTTAAATATTTTAGTTTTATAATTACATGAAAATGTAATGATCGATATATTGATTTAGTCACTGCAAGAAAAGATAGACAATTTTGTTTAAAAGTACAGGAAGAAACGGCGTCGAAGAATGGTGAAACAGAAATCGTTTTCTGTTTTTAGAAAGTTACTCGTAAGTTTAATTAAAAATCTTTCTCGCCTATCGCGAAGGTACAACGCTCACCCGTTATATGTTACGTGGCCGCGCCAAACAGGAAAGAAATACCTTGGAAAAGCTTCGTTGTAATATCAGTTATCAAGCGTGTAGCGTGACTGGAAATTAATATGAAATATTGAAAAACTTTTGATCGAATTTGCATGAATGGGAGCGGAATTATTATGATCGGTAAAAGTTATATTTTGCTGGTTAAACGGAAACTGGTGGGAAGGGCGGTAGGAAGACTGCTAGCGCGTCGTGTGACCTTGTTTAATCGATAAATCATATTTTTATATTTTTATATAACTGGTTCTTCTTGCTCTACTCTCGCCTCGTGATATATTTTGTTATATTTTCAGGCTATCAATTTCATTCGAAGTGACTACTTTATTTTTACCATTGACTCGCGATACTCGGTATATAAATATGTAGGTTAATTTAAATGTCAAATTTAATGTGAAGAGTCTGAAATTTTTATTCGTTGAAATTTGTGCTTAGCGGAAACATTTCGTGGAAATTCGACCGAAAGGAGACTAACTTTAGTCTTCTCGTCGGGTCGAATTGGAACGTTTTACTAAATTGGATCTTCTTTCCGCAGCTCCATAGGATAGAATACGTGCACAGTCGACATTTGATCTACCGCGACATCAAGCCGGAAAACTTCCTGATAGGACGATGCACAAACAAACGAGAGGTTATACACATCATCGACTTCGGACTGGCTAAAGAATACGTATGCCAGGAGACGAACAAGCATATACCTTATCGAGAACACAAAAGCCTGACGGGCACGGCGCGTTATATGAGCATCAACACGCACCTGGGAAAAGGTAACTTGCATCGCGTCGAGTTCAAATTACAGCGTCAGAATATAAGTAACGTCACGCCAGACCGTCTGCAGACATTTTCAAATACGTCCAAGAAACTTTTAAGGGGTTCGTCCGGTTCGAAACTCGAGAAAAATTTACATTTCCCTTCAAGAAACTATCGGACGCATCGATCCGGAAGTTGCGTGAATTTTCTCGAGCATGAATAATTAATTTTGATCGAAGCAACACCACGGTGGAGCCTTTGTTTTATAAATATTAATATTATTATTTTTTTCAAACTGGACAGACCCCTTGAGCAAATCGCGATGTTAAATCCGTGGCGTCTGTCGTCCGCGGTGCACTGGCCGGCTAGAGTTTCCGGTCCGTAATTCAATCGCGAGCAAATTGTTGCGTCCACGATGAAAAACGAGAAACGGCAACCGGATTCTATTAAACCGTCTCTGTTAACGTTGTTCGATCGGTGGCGTAAATATTTCACGGGAAAAACCGCGGTCTGCGTCGAAGCCGCGTAAACGATCGTGCAAACGCGCTGTGCGGAACGCACTCGAGGCATCGTTCTCGTCGAGAATCTTCTTTCTCGATCGTCCGAGGGCGAACCTTTTTTTTTTGAGAAATTGTCGAGACAGGAGACAAAGGAGTTGCTCGTTCGTTGGCAAGGATAGCGTAGCACCGAGTTAGGGTTTAACGGTGACGAGAGATGCGTTCTGGGCAGCGCGTTGCACGGCGTGGGAACGGGGGAGGGTCACGTTTGAAACGAGTCCGTGAACAACGCGAAAAACTGTTTTTTCTCGGCAAACAGAGCAGAGCAGAAGAGACGATCTGGAAGCGTTGGGGCACATGTTCATGTACTTCCTGCGCGGCAGCCTGCCGTGGCAAGGTCTGAAGGCGAACACGCTGAAGGAACGATATCAAAAGATCGGCGACACGAAGCGGAACACGCCGATCGACGTTCTATGCGACGGGCATCCCGAGGAAATGGCCACGTATCTGCGATACGTACGCAAACTGGACTTCTTCGAGATGCCCGACTACGAATACATGCGGAAGCTGTTCAGCGATCTAGCCGAGAAGCGCGGTTTCGTCAACGACGACGAGTTCGACTGGACCGGGAAGACGATGGTGTGTGATCCATTGTTGAAGTGATCGACCGTTAGATCACGTTCTTTTTTATTTCTGCGCAATGCATGCAAGAGAACCGAAGAGAGAAAATTGTAGGAGAATTGTCGATGGTCAGGGACGAATCGCACGTATCGCAAGAGTCGATATCGAAAACCGTCTTCGTCGGAGGTTTCCTTCTCGATCGAGTTTAACGTTCACGTTCGCGAGCGAACGCAGTGTACGACGATGTTGGAGACCGTTGTGTTGGATCATGAAAATTAAAAGATATTTACCAACGAGATTGTCTTTCGGATTACGCGTTTTTGACGATCGCACGTTAGGGTGGTCCTTGTTTCTGTTCATTTGGTCTCACGATCCCTCGTGGTTCTAATACAGAACAAACGTACCTTTCCTCTACCTTTAATATTAAATACGATACTTAATAAATTCTAAAATATAAAATTAATTTTATTTGCTAGCCAATGGCTGTTGGACTGTGCTCAGAGATTCAGAATCGTAGATGATAACGTTTGTATGTATTGTAACCGTTCTCGCGGTAGTGAGACCAAAAAGTTTGCCAAGAAAGTAACGACCAACGATGGATAAGGACCACCCAGACGTGCGCAATAGTTTGTTTGTAGTTGAAACTCCGAGGTATCGTCTCTTCGGGGTAAGTAAGTCGCCCTGAATGTACCATCAACGTCGTCACTCTGGTAACACGGTATTTCACTAACTTTTAACGTTTGCATGCTGCCCCCACACTGTATCTGTAGCCAGAAAACTTCGAACAACTTAAAGCTCTGAGGATGGCTCCTCCCTCTCACATTGGGAAGACCAAGTCCGACGAGGTGGGTGACATTACGCGGGCCTCTGACACGCGCGTCCAAGAGAATTCCTATCGATGCTACTCTCTGTTAAAAAGACTTTCTGTTAATAGTAAAAAAAAAATTAAAAAACCAGGATGAGGCTGCTGCACCGGGTATATAGTTTGCCACAGAGAGGCGTAATCGCGCTCGAAGAGTTGCTCGTAAAGTGCACGGAACGATACTGGGAGCTTATCGACTTTTATTTCGTCGAGCGTAAAAATCTTATTTCTCTTCTGAAACGCGATATCTCGTTCCCGACCGAGATTCGCATCTACGCCTGCCTGAATATCGCACGAAAGTTGTACGGCATTTATTATGAGCGCACTCCGCTTCCTCTCTTTTGTTAAACTGTTTAATTTACACTCTCCGTAAGGCCGTTTCACGCATTATTTATGATAGTCTTGTTGCTAGAGCATGTCGATCGATAAGACCTTTCTATTTTAATTCTAAGAAGCTTGTAGTTCTACAAAAGAAAAAGAAAAAAAGGATCATATAATTTAATGTATCCTTAGCACTTTGAATCGTAATTCTAAATGCCTTTACACCAAACATTACTTCATACGTATACCAATCGAATTAACTTAATTGGATGCTTTCTTTTTGCAGACGATATATATATATATATGTGTTAATTGTAATTTATTGTGTAATTTAATTTCGTCACATAAAGAGAATATAGAGTTTGTCCCCTTCGGTTAGAAGAGCTGTGTTCGAAATAACAATGCCCAATGTTACCGTCGTTTGTTTCGTTCTTGGTTCCACGTATGTTACATGAAATTCATATATCCGTAGACCCACGCGCCCAAGAAGTTTATCGTCTAAATATAATATTTGCGTTTCGTTTCCAGACAACGCCCGTCGGATCGTTGCAAACGGGACAAGAGGTTATCGTATCGCCGAATCGTGATCGGCATCCCTACAAGGTACGTTGTCCACGTGCATATCTACGTTTTTGTTTTCATTTGAACAGAGCATGAATGTGTGAAGCTTAATTACATTTCGAGTAACCGCATGAAAATTCACGTCATTAGTACCTGGATAGATTTTTTTTTTCTCTCTTTTTTTTTAAATTGTATCGATGAAAACATTAATGACTGCGGATGGAGAGCCGCGAAATCGGTTACGGAAGTTTTCGAAGCGTCCATCTTGAATGGCTCTAAAAACGGATGGGTAAATAAATGATTTTGTTTCTTTGCGAAACACGGGAATCCTCGGTGTGTAGGAATGCGATGATTTTGAGGACGATGTAGTCCTCGTGTTGGATGAGGTTCAGATCGAAATGCAAGGCAACTATGTAAGCCACAAAAAATTTTGTAAATTCGTTGGTCTTGCTTCTTCATGCATGTTTTTTATCTTATCGAAGATATCCGAATCGACGATTCGAGATTTATGGTTACCGTGCAGATAACTCGACGTCTTGAAACGTAGAGAACACGATTTTTCTCCCATTTTATGCATTAAATTTGTTTCTTTTTACAATCAGAAAACACCCTGTATCTCTTAGCCCTTTTGCCAATACCATTCTACGATTAACGGATAGTCTTCAACCTCGACACGAATCTCACAAGATGAACTATCGATTTCGAGTTGAAACACATACGTGAAGAAGCGCCGTAGGACAAAGTGTACTTTAAAATCCCTGTTGGCAGTCCTCTAGTGTTTCTATCTAGTATTTACGATACTAGTTAACGTAGTTAGTTACGTAGTCCGTACACATTAGATATTTTTCGATCAAGACCGTTTATTAGCATCTGTACATATTGTATACATCGATATATCACGTACCTCTTTTAAACATATTCGAAAGGTCGCACCGCCGTATCGAGCTGAAAATAGAAATTTCATTCGCGATACGATAATTCACGTTTCGGGGACAAAAATAAAGCAGGGATTCACCATGAAACATTTCACAAAGTGCTCTTTAATTTATTTATTTTTTTATTGTATTGGCTAACGCGTTGAAATTTGGACATTCTCGTGCTTGTTCCTTTAGGATGTGACAGGTGCAGGGGTGGGCGGAGAGGGCGGTAAGGGGGTGGGCACCATGTGGCCAGATACTATGAAGCAATCAGGAGCCGGTGGTACATTGACACCTGCTGATAGGCACGGTTCAGTACAGGTGAGTGGACCTTGCGATCATTTGGCACGCCAATCTCTGGTGACCTTTGTACGTTCGAAGATCGTTCTCTTTTTCTCTGTTCTGTATCGCGTCCACATCGATACCGTTCGCTCGAGAGAGAACCTCGAGACACGGTTTACATCTTGTTATCGACTATTTGACCATAACTCGTTACGTTCGTTCGCTGTTAACGTGGAAACGATTTTTGTACGAGCGATTGTTGACAGAAATTAGACGCCATGTTGGTCAATAAACATGTCCATAATCTGTTCGTAATTGTTCCGAACACCCTGTATAATTTTCTATCACGTTCTCATATAAAAGCTCGAGTTTTATACCGAAGTGAAATCCGCAAAGGAATGCTCGAACGCGGTTAAAATTGCAAACGCGTTTTCCTTGTTCGATATACCTCTTAGCTTCTTTTATTTGCCGTTTTATCAGCCCGGAAGACGACGCGCCAACGCGCCAACGCGCAAACGTCTGCAAGCAAACTGTTCGCTCTATTTCTAGACAAAGAGCCGATGGATTATGGTCAGTTAGGCGTCTATACGAGTTGGTTTGTTGCAGCATGTTGACATTGTTTCGTTGATCGATTTACCACTGATTTTTTCACCCACCACTAATCCACCACCGCCGTGTACGCGTTTGTTTTATTTTTGCGTGACACCGCGGGTTTTCTGTTTTATTTTTTATTTTAACAGTAAATTGTTAATCAAGTTGATTGGTTGTATCGCGCTTTAGAATTTCGTTGCGTTTGTATTAACAACTCCTCATGAATATAAAGTGCCGCTTGTTTCACGTAAATTATGGTCTTATTCCTCCGACGTAGAGGCTTGTATATATATATATATATATACATGTGTACGTGAACACATATATGTATATTTGTTATGTATCTCGTGTCGTTAGTCTCGTAGAGTATTTTGAATACATTTTAACTTCACGGTGTACAAAGTCCCCATCGATCGTTACATTTTCCAGTAATTAAACGTATAATTTCGCCTTTATGTAAGTCAATGTTTCCGTCCGTTTCTGTATAATGTCGCTCACAATGATTTGTCGTGTATTTAGGTGGTGTCCTCGACGAATGGGGAATTAGCGAACGATGATCCCACTGCAGGACATTCGAATACTCCAATTACAGCACCTCAGGAAATGGACATGGTCGACGAAACCAAGTTAGTATTACAATCAGTCTAATTTCTCGTACGATCAAGATATTAATCAAGATTTTTCTCTACACGTTGTTTATGTTTTACGAGTAAACTTCTTCACCTTCGCTTTGACAAACAAGATTCACGACAATTACAAAAGACTAACGCTTCTGATCAGGGATCGAAAGAAATAGCTGCACATTTATTTTTTAGAAGCTCTCTGACTGTTTCTGATATACAGGGTGTCTTGCTCAGCCAACGTCTTAAATATTTCACAGGAATATTATTTGTTTGCAAGGGACAAATTGTTTGCTCGTTGTATTTGTCCCTTCGAAACAAATAATGTTTTTCTATGGTCGAAGCTAAGTGAGATATTTATGATACCGACACCCTGTGTATTATACAACTATTGCATGTTTGTGTGTTTTACTTATGTGATTCATAGCAAAACTGTAATATAAATGAACTATTCTAAAACGTTAACTTTGAAATACTGTACACTAACACGGTAGAAAGTTAGCAGTAATGCACATACTATACACGGGACAGAAAGTATTAGGCGCTCAAGGTAATTCAGTGGTTATCCCCCACCAAACCAATTACCTACACCCATCGTACCCATTTGGGGAACCTCAACGTAGCGTTTAACCAACCTTATCATATTCCTGACGCTATCATTACACATTGAAAATAATAAACTTATAACATGGAAAGTGATTTTGATCACACAATACTTTCCGCTCCAAAACGACAACACCGTTGCGTTCTCTGTTACAATAAACTCTTATACTCGTCGATTGTATCTTTTGCATGGTGTATGTTAAATCTGCTGTCTATCATATTTCAGACACATACCTTTGCCAACAAAAAAATGTTGTCGCGGATGTGGAAAGATCTTACGCCGAAGTTTACGCTCCCATCATACGTCCACCGTTAATCCTAGACAAATCCTCGAGCTTGGTTCGATATTCCAGTACAAGTGGCCATTACAAAATTTCCTATTATGCAACATAAAAGCGAAATATGATATTAGATAATCATCGTTACATACCGAGTTACGTGTATCGGTCGGAATGTTATTTCCCCTCGCGCGCGGAGCCACCGACAGACAGATTTGGGCTAATTTTATTTCCGCGCAACGAACACAAATTTTCGACTCGTTTGTAAACCAACTGCCGTTTGCGTTTCATTCATACATTCATTCACAGTTTACGAATGAATCTAAAATTGATCCTAGGACATTAAAAAAAAGATCTCTTGTATGTAATAGATCATATTTTTTTATACAAAGAGTAATAACATTGCGTTTCGTTATGGAGTTACTGGTTGAACTTATAAGTAAGACTTGTCTAACAAATCTAGCAAAGTATACAGTTCGTACGATTTTATTCGTTAGCTTAAAGTAAAGAATTCGAATACGGAAGCACACTGAGTCCTCGATTTACTTGGTTCCACTGTTCCGGAGATTTCTGTGTAGGAAACGGGAGTATTTACATAAGTATATAATCGTGTAATTCAGGCGAATGTACGTGTAAAATATGAAAAAGAAATAAAACACTAATATAGCATCGAGTTCTTTTGTTTTTGTTAAACAGGTAAGTGTTACATTCTTTCTGTTCAGTTATTTTATTCGAACAGGATATTTATTGTAGCTCAGAGTTCTCAAGAGATCATAATCGTTGTCAAAAGTGATAAAATAATTGTTTGAAAATATTTCCAAGAATATTCCACTGGCAAGTTCGACAAGGTCCCCCCCGTGGGATTTCTCTAATTAATAAAATTAAATCTGTGCATATTGAAAAGTGAGTTCAACTTGGTACCAAGTACACTAATCCATGTAATTTGAGGACTTGTTATATTTGAATTGGATTATCGAACACAGAAAAATTGGAAAAGCCATCCCAGCCCTGCGTCCACGGAAACGCCATTTCCTGTCCATCCCTATAGTATACTCGACGCGCACGATTCATGCCATCGACTTCTGCATCTGGACACCGCGCACTGTGTCATTAACCATTCTGGTCCAATTTCAGTATAGAGAAAGACAAGCATCTCGATTTACCACGCCGCTTTTGGAATGCCTTCCTCCTTGTCGTGCTGCATGTTGGTGTTCTAGCAGTAAGGCGATCGAAAGAAGACGACTCTAAGTCCTATTAGTGTTTGCTTTATTTACAGATGCTGTTGCTTCTTCAAACGGAAGAAGAAGAAAAGTGGAAGGCAAAAGTGACTGTTCTCGTCGTTCTCAAGGTGGCACTACAGTGCGTGTGTAACAGTGAGGATGAAGTTTGGAAGGAACGTGTCGCCGCGGCAGTGCGAATCGGTAAACACGACGGGACCACCACGGGCAGAGAAGCTGCGGCCGATCCGGGAAGGAAGGCCGCCGTTACCTTGCCACGTGCCGGAAGTCGGACCGCTTCTTGAGATTCGGTGCTGCACACCATCGTCACGATGACACGCCCGTAGCCGTCGCCACCGTTATCAAATTAAACCACCACACAGCCATCATTATTACTGCTACTATTATTACTATTATTATCATTATTATTGTCACGATTAACTTTTTTTCTCTTCTTCCTTTCCTTCTTACGATTATTATTATTATTACTATCACGATTATTGTATTATTATTTTATTATTATCGTCTATGATTATCATTGTCATATCTCGTCTACGATCATCGTTTATGGATCAACGTCGTTGTTAACGATAACACTTGTAAACTCGTCACCGTTGACTGAGGACCGTTCGGGGCCGTCGTCGTCGGTCCCGGCATACGTTCAGTACTGGCGAACGTCCAGTGTCCACTACCAACATAACCGTAAGAAGTAAGGAATTGACGTGCCGATGGTGAAAGAACGCGTTTGTGCCTACGACACTATTAATCATGTACCGCCGGCTGGCAATCTTTGAACAACACGCTGATTACTGCGAAATGTGTTACGATACGTATATTAAATCGTAAATGAATTGAAGCTGAGATCTCATTTCACTCTTTAAAGTCCCGGACAACGAGCGCGTACCGTGTGTACTCCTGCTTGTGTCGAGTTTCAACGACGCTCGTGTAGTCTGATCGTGATTGGAACAAAAAGGCATGAAACTGAAAGCAAGCGCTCGATAAAGTAACAAAATTTACGAATCGTGATCGACGTATCGTTTCGCGAACCTTGAATTTTCTTTTTACCCGTGTTAGATCTTGCCGCCTATTTTTGAAGTACGGAACCAATTATATGGTAAAAGGAGTCGGCAAATTATGTTTTAACGTAGCCAAACGAAAATATTAAACTTCACAGGTAATATCGAGGATAGTGTCTGATTGTGGAGGATGTGCTGAACTTGAGTTCATTCAACTCTGTCAAGAATTCCTAGGAAAGCTGAAGGTATAGTAAAAAATATAAAATCTTTTGTTTTGCAACTGTTTCGATCTTGCTATCATGGTAGTTCGCCGACTCCTGGATCGATGAGTTCGTTAAACGTCGGATGGATTTTACTTCATTTAATTTCATCATCTTGTAGAGTACGCGAAGCAATCGTATAACAGTATTAACGCTATCGATAAGTAGCCGCGAAGATCGTGCTGGATCGTGCTCGTCATAATCTTAGTTGGTTAAACTTTATTTCACGCAACCATTTTTTACGCCTACACTGCCGGTCGTTGCTCTATGCAAGTGCACGATTTATACTCGAAGTCACCACGCTGTATATAATGTATCGAAAAACGTTTCGCTACGGAGGCTTACCGTATACTTCTTTCATCGGGCGCGCAAGCTTCGTATCGTCGAAATTGACAGTCACAAACTAACAAAAAAAAGAAAAAAAAAAGAAAAAAAAAATGAAAAAAAATGAAAGAAAAATAAAGGAAAACGATTCCAAACAGACCAGTTTCGGTTTCATGCCTTCCGCGAGATGATCGCGTGGAAAGCGTAATAGGTCGCAGAATTCAAGCTACACTTTACATAACATATCGAAAGAGAATTAATAAAAAAAAAAAAAACACGTAATGAATTTTCGACCGTAGATGCTAATCGTCTACCGTGAAAATTTCGTAGTACGATGTAGATGTCGATACAACTGATCCGTGTTCTATCAAGGATTCGAGGGTGTGAATCGATTTTCTCGGGTTTAAATTGTCGTTTAAGAGCGAACCCGCTAGTTTCGAACAAATTTTCTTTTTATTCGTGGAACACGTTTGTTAACGAACACAATTGACTAAGAGTGTAACGAATAGAGAACCAAAGTATGCCTGTAATTGATTATACATCAATGTAGCACTGATTTTAAAGCAATGAGAAACTAAGAAACAGAATTTCCTTCGAACGAAAACGCCAGACAGACGTAAATAGTATTGGATTTGAGTCGAAAAAAAAAAAAAAGAAAAGAAAAATATGTAAAAATGAACGTGATACCGAATGCAGTCCTGTGAACTTACTTGGGAGGCGTGGAGAACTTCGTCGAGGACTTGTTTAATACGTTATTTCCAGAAAGTTATAAAGAGAAGAGCGTTACGAAGTGATATATATGTATAGAAATCCCTGTGGATGTTCTTGATATGCACACGTGCAATGAAGAGATACTTAACGCGAATATGCGCGCGAAGCTGATGACAAAGGAGAAAAGGATCTTGTCAGCCCTGCCGATTAAACGATCAAGTAAGAGCGTTTGGTTCGTCGACGGTACGACGTTTTGTTACAAATTTCCGACACAGTTCGCCCCTAGTGACGGAATGTTAGACATTTAGATGAATCGTTTCGCTCTCGGATCGTTAAAAATTTTTCGTCGGTGAATTCGCGCCCATCTAACGTTCGTTCGTTTGCAGACTGATTAACGATAAATCGACTCTTTCGGAAACCGCCATGATTTCACGATACGTATTATCAACATACACAATATAGATATTAAGATAAAGGAATTAACCCCGAGATTGTTGAAGTTCTGCACGCAAATTATGCCAAATTCTCACAAAACGTCCTTTCGTTCTTCGTTGTACCGTTTCGCGCGAAGATCGAAAACTACACGCAATGAACGATAGATGAACATTGTCCATATCTCTAAATATTACCAATTACGTATTACGCATAGGTGTACAAGAAAGTTACTATTCGAAAGTAAATGCATGTATCATCCATAAGTATATCAGTAGTTGCAGGAGTAAATATGCTATCGTTAGACTGATAAATGGCAATGAAGATAACGAACGAGGAAACCGTCGCGATGATGTGTTGCGTCTCGTTGGATAATTGTCGTCCGATAAAAACGAAAAAAATATGACGGGACAAATTGTAAACGTTAATCGATGTGTAATAGCTCTTTTCATCGTAGAATAAAATCTCGATCCACCCGGTGGTAGTGACTAACGGCCCCCCTCTCCCAATGGCCCACGAATTTGTAACAAAACGAACGATCGGCTCGAGAAGCGTCCGTTTAATCGACTAGCCAGCAGAGATGTTTTTCTTCTTGCAGGAGTATGTTAACGGCGGTGTAAACGACAGACAGACGTGTCGTGTTCGAAGGTCCGAACTTCTGCTAGTCTGGCCAACGATTGCGTACCACTCCCGAGGCATACGAATGTACCGTGTTAGCGTACCGTGAGTGCCCGTATATGTTATATCCGCTATTTAAATGGCCAAGAACACCCGACGACGAAACGATCTGATGTACTTAGCGTATCATGGATTCGACGGAACGTGTGCTTCTTCGTCCGCGAACGACACATTAAATTATCGGTCGTCGGGGGTGTCTTGACATAATACGCTTAAACAGAGATACGAGCTGAAAAAGAAAAAAAAAAAACCATTAAACTCCGTGAATTTTCTCTCTCGTAATACCTGTATCTTCCCACTGGATACGCGACCGAGAGTATTGTTCCTTTTGTAAGCTTGCCAGCGCAAGTAATCGTCGAACAATCGGACGTTAACGTTTGTATTACAGTGGCGGGAAGGGGAGAATGAGAAGCGCGAAAGTGTCAAAGAGAGAGTGAACCGCGGGAATGTGAACCAAGAGAGAGAGAGAGAGAGAGAGAGAGAGAGAGAGAGAGAGAGAGAGAGAGAGAGAGAGAGAGAGAGAGAGAGAGAGAGAGAGAGAGAGAGAGAGAGAGAGAGAAAGCGGGAGAAAGACGGAGGGAATGATGTGGAGCAGGGCTGACGAACTGACGAAATGCGAACCCCTACTCCTACTTTTCTGTTTCGCACAAGCGCGTAAGAACTATCCCTGCTACGTTTGCTCTGTTACGTTGGGGACGAAGGCTCGCTGGGGACCTAACTTAGTGAGGAACTCGATGGTGGGAGAATCGGTTGGCTGGTAGCGAAACTCTCGTGGCTCTCGACCGGAGAAGAAGTTCGTTATCCCTGTTACAAAGTGAGAAAAACGAGAAAGGGTAAGACAAAAGTGGCAGGGCCGTCGTTCTCCTCCGGTGTACATGTGTATTCGTGCGGGAAAAGAATGAATCTTTTATGTTACTCGAATGCTTAAGCTACTGTCCCTTGAGTTCTTTTCTATTATTTTTGTCGACGATAAGCATTGATCTCCTGACGGATAACATACACACCTCTTACCGGGACACACGCATACACGAACAATTCCGTGATTAGGGTACACAGTGAGAAGCATGACCGAACCAATAACAGCGTGTTTCATGAAAATAAACATAATTAACGCGTTGCTAGCGGTCATGATTTACTTAAATAATTTTGTAACTTTTAAAACGTTGGTTTGTACACCTAAATGGAGTGTTAGAGTGCAAGCTCTGTCCAATGTAAACAAACATGGCTACCTTTTCCTTCTTTCGGTGCTGTACAAAACTGAGTCTATTAATTTCCATTGTTATAGACGAATAAAGAAACATGTAAAGTATTATGAAAGCGTATTTACGTTAAAGCATGTAGTTGCTGATTCATTTATGCTACTTACTGTATATCGTTTGATGAATTCCAAATTTGAGGAGCAAGTGTCTCCTCGAAGAGAGAAAGAGGAGGAGTGATCGTGTGATTTTAATGAATACGAGAGCCTCTGTATATCGTTACTTTGCCACGAATCGTTGGCGCAATTATGCTGCAACTACGTTGCAATTTAGCTTGTAGTTTTTTAGTCGATTTTTCAACCATCACCGATTTTTAAATACAACACGACTGACTGCTGGTTAAGTATGGTTGTGAGCGAACAAGAACGTAGGAACGTTTTCCAATACGATCCGGGATACCATCATTCTTAAACTTAAATTTCATTTTTATTTGTTTTCTTTTTCTTTTTTTTATTCACTCTTGTACTCCGTACAGGATAGGCTGTTACGCTCGTCCCAATGGCGAGACTGTCGATTTATCGATGAAACGGTGATTCAGTTCGAAAGCGATTATTTGTATATTTGTAAATTGGTGCGAATAGATCGAACTAAATTCAACGTATGCGTATATGTGTCTTTCATTTCCTTGCTCTCAATAAGTTATGACAAAAATGATCGTTCGTTTTTTCCGAAAAATTCAATGCGATTATTCTGTGCTGTAATAACTGTCCACTTTGAAACTTGTTTCTCTCGTCTCCGCCTATCTTCTGTGCATACACGATATGCATGAAATAGTATTTTTTCCTAACTATTTCAGTGTATCGCTAGCTAGCTTTTATTGTAAAGCAAGGAAACTTGTAATTGAATTTTGATTGTTTGAATGTGTCTGCCTCGGAATGCGGGCAAACACTTATTAAAAACGCATTCAAACTGTAACTGCTGGGTCGTGCTTTTATAGTGAATTTTTGGCGCGATAATGTTACTCTGTGTACGTGATTTAGATATTCGATTAATGTACGAATTTTGATTATTATTAATTACTATTATTACCATTATTATTATTATTATTATTAATATTATTATTGTTTTTCTAGCATGTATTCGTTGCTAAAGGATTTTATGTAGCTTGTGTTCAATGATTATTTGCCACTTGTATGGAATTGGCAGCTCACGCGCATTACGATAGTGTGCCCCATGTATAATGAGTGTGTTTGACGACGTTATAGACATTTTGAGAAGTTTATCGATATAGCGGACGAGAGACGTTGTGCTATGTGAAACAGAAAGAAAATCGGAGTCGGTTAATTTTTTTTGTAAATAGAAATTATTAGAATGGTCCAGAAGTACGCACACGGAGACACGAAAGGTTAGGAAATAAAGAAATGTCAGAATATGTCAGGGAGATTGTATCAGCTTCAAATTATATATACGTATTCATATACATACAACTATATCAATAATGGCGATTAATAAGCTACATTATTACTACAGTAATCAATACTGTCGCACCAACGGCCGCGACCGACTAATTTTATTACCACGTAATCGTAACGATGCCAGTGAGAAAGTGGGGTGTGTTCTATTACGGCGAAATCGGACAAAGAAGCATGAGATCGTAATTATTCTACTTGCTAATTTATAGAGACAATTCAAACGGTGTCCAATTATGCTTCGAAGGTGTTTTGTCCATTTCGTACATGTCTACAAACACAAACAGACAGATGTCCGAAGTTTTTTGCGAGGATATACTATTATTAACGAGAACGAAATTGTTCACTTTTAACGTGCTTTTTTGTTATAATTAGTGGATTCGTTTTCTTTCCACTTGTGAAACCTATAATCTAATGAACTATTAAAGACGACAAAAAAAAAAAAAAAACATTAATGTACATAGAAATTAAAATTTGTTTTGAGTACTATTCCGATCGATTATGCGTTTACGAAAATAAACAAGCGTAAGGACTATACGAAGGCGGAGAGCGGTTTACATGGGAAACATGACGATGAAAAACACGAGACTGAAAAATCACGCCGGACCATAACAAATTAAATGCGTTGAATTCGCGTAATATAAACAACATTAATACAAATTATGAAACGAAACACAGGTTTTCATTAGTTTTGTCAACAAATGTGCACCTCTCTCCCCTATATTACATTTCTATCGTACTTGTAAGCTGTGATTGAAATCCTATCTTTTAACTTGTAATCACTGGCTTACAAACTGTTATTTAACGACTTTTATGTTTATGTATATATGAAACCGTTATAAGAATGACGTTTTTATATATACACGTACATATATATATATAAAAAAAAAAACCGTCTCATAAAACTGCTTTAAATAGAACTGAAAAAAGACATTGAAAGTGCGCGGAAATCTGTTTCTGTAAATATGTGTTGTGCCTGTGCACTTAGAAAAACAAGAGATGAGTACTACCTGAATGTCTTGTATGTTTCTATTTTGGTTTATGCAATTTTGGTTATACCTCTACCTTTCAAGCTTGTTTTGCCTTCTTTTTCTACGTATGTTCAAGAAAATTTGTTCCCAAAATTTCAGGTTATATTAACAATGCAGTAAATAGAAGAAATACAACAAATCTGATTTTTAAGTCTTTTATTTTGTTGCAAAATATCTCTTTCTCTACATAATTTCGATTTAAAAAATACTGTACAATTTGTCGCAGTTACTTTTTAAACACATTTTACGATTATTTCAGTCTTTGTAGGTATAAAAGTAAAATAAAATTTTACTATAGAAACGGGCATATTCATAACGAAAATAATATAGATAAGGAAGATACAGACTTTCATTGAATCATTTTCACACCACACGTTTAATTTAATACGAAATTATACGAAAATACTCTAGCAAGATTAGATTCAAAGAATTGAATAAAACTGCAGTTCCAATAAATACTAACAAGTTACAAATAATTTTGTACATTAAGCAAACCAAGTTAAAATATAAAATTTCATGTTACACTTTGTTTGATGAAAACAAGCATACATAAATAATCTGTTAATGTAGAATCATGATATCGGGATTTTATTTAGCTCTATTTCTTTCTGAATCTTCATTTCCATTTATATTTTCTTTATTACTTTGTGACTTTTTTAAAATTCCCTCCATAGTGATTAAATCTCTATGGTCTGCTAATAAATCTAATAGAAATGGTTTGTCTATTAGTTTGTTAGAGGGAGGAATCAAATTTACTATAAGTTTTTTCATTAAATTTATTTTCTGTAGTAGCATCATTGCCTTTTTTTTGTTCCTAAAGAGAACAAATTTAACAAAAAATAAAGTAAAAGTATCATTTGCAAATTGTTATATATACATATATCTATAAACTTACTGTGCTACTTCAGGATTTGTTTCTTGTAATTTTTGGCTAAGTAAGTCCTCTTCAGTCTTTAAAAATTTCTGATAATCAAATAGTGCATTCTGACACTGAATCTTCAAGTCCAATTGCTTTTGCAATGAGTCTTCTATAGCTGCTTGTAGCAGCATACTTTTATCATTAAGAATATATAATTGACACAAGAGAGCACAAATTTTCCTAAAACAGTATTAAATTTGTTCAATTTCAATTGTTCAAAGGTTTAGAAGTTTCTAATTTCTTTGCTTCAGCATTTTAACAAAATCTTTTCTATTTTGAAGCTTAAATTATTTTTGAATTCTGAATTCTGTTGCTCTTCTTACTTTTGCATATTCTGGTCATCATCTTTTGCTTCTAGAATAGCTTGAGTAGCTTCTGTGTGAAGACAAAGTTTAAATGCTTTATTAGTTATATGAAAATTTGCTGTCTCTTCGTGCAAATGTGTTATTGTATGCTCCATATCTTCTTCAAATTCATTATCCGTTGCGTTCGAAGCAGTAGCAGATTCATGATGCGTTTTAAGCATTATTAATCTGGCATTTAAAAATTGTAACAACTCTCTCATATTCGAGATTCTTTCCTCTATAGGTGTATAGTCATCTAAGGAGACAGCTCCAACAGGAAAATTGGAAACACTTTTATTCAAGCTTTTGATAGCGCGTGATAAATTTTCAAATTCTGACATTTTGGGGACATTTACGCTGTTTCATTCGGCAATAAGTCTTTTCACTAGTTTCGATACTATTTTTTAAGTCGATTTTATTCATTTAGAACCATTGTTAGATTTACTTTACCAAACCGAAAAATATCGTATTATCGTAACTACATTTCACAATGACGAGAGACATTATTTTTGCATTACAAAGGATAAAATAAACGTATAAAAAGTTACTGTATTGAAATATTATTTCGCGACACTTTTTTCGAAAATTATACACCGGTATAAATAGAAAGGTTAAATCTAGGAGTATATAAGTTTGTATGATAGGAATCGTAATGTTGAAAAAGTTCCTAGGCTTACACGATTGGTCGTTCGTATAGTGATTTTGTAATTGGAGAGGGTAGTGAAATAATTACATTTTATAGAGTTATTTCTAGGCTGTACTATTGGCTAAAATATTATCGTAACAGCGGACCAATGAGATTCTAACCATACGAAGCAGTCGTGTCTCTTATAATTTACTTGGTTTGTGGTTTGTACACCTCAAACAAATTTTAAACCTACTGAAGATAAAGACATTTACTCGACAAAGGTTTTCAAGACACCAGTGTACAAGGATTCTGTTTTAAAGTAAGCAATAATAATCAAAAATATGTCTAAAGATAATATAAATCTCCACACAGCTATATGTACCATAAACGCAATATTACATGCACTTATTTAAGCTATTTATGGGATTATAATCTAAAGTAATAATTTAAACGTTTACTTAGCTGTCTTTCAAAGCACGTATCACTCCAGCCAGCATAAACGTTTCTCACTCACATTACGATCGCGATTTAAACTCTGTACGTCGACACCGATTGCAATTACGTTTAGAATAACTGACGATTGCCAAATTCAATTATGATTTCTGCCGTTTCTTGAACGCTGCAGTCTTATTCTTTTCTGGATTGATAACGTTGCGTAAGACACGAAAATGCATTGAATGATAAGTCTATTCTGTACATAGTCTATGATAAGACCGATAGCGCGGGAAGTAGTATGGCATTCACGCAACAGAGAGCGCCTCAAATTATTTTCAACGTTGCAAGTGCACTCTTTGGCTCGGCTATCAAATAATAAACGTATTTGTCAGTGAATTGTTCTTACGTCGACAAATATGTTTCCTTTTCGTTGGCCTAGTCAAATATGAGAAGTTGTACATATATTATTTGCGAAGAGCTTCGAGAATAGCTCGGTTTGGCTAAGGACCTTTCTATAGAGGTAAATTAAATATTTTTAAGTTTGCAAAGTACAGCATGTGTATGTTACCAGCGTCCTGTATCACGTACTGTATTTCCAGTTCCTTGAATCACTGACGTTACTTTCCAAATAAACGACGTACATCTTCCTTTCCTTTTTCCCTACGAGCGTCAGTGTTTTGCGCGGTGTTTCGTGTCGAATTATACGTAAGTACCCTCAGTGTGATATTATCGAATAAGATGTATGGAAAATGTTAAATGTATAAATTGTACCCCGCGTTTCTAACGTTGTTTCGAATCGCGGGGTTCTAATACGATCGTCCTACACATACAGACTCGTAAAAGCGATCGTAGTCGCGTGTATTACTTGTCGCTATAATAACCCTTTCGATGGGAGCGGAAGTTCGTCTTAACTTCCGCCCGCCAGGAAACTGAATCCTTTGAATTGATTCAAAAGCTTGATTAGCACGTTGATTGCTGCAGGGAGTCGTACACACGTTCGCTCGTCCCGTGTGTGCTCGCGTGTGCGTGTGTTGTGTGCCTCGTACGAGAATACAAGACGGTCGGGTTTTACGCCGTTGAATAGACACGTGTGCCCATATCTAGTCGACAAATTGCTTCCATCGCGAATCGATGATACCGCGGTATCGGTTCGATTCGAATTGGAAACATTGGGCCAATTCGTTTACGCGTTTCTGGTGCAGCCAGACTGTCGGCGACCGTTATTTTCGTAGCAATTGTTTGAATAAAAAATACGAGCCGTGCCTGTACAGACCACGATATTAACATAACATTTAAAAGAATATAATCTCGACCAAGATGGTATATTTTCTCTCGGGCCATCGTACACTCTCGTTCATTTTTTAAATAATTTTTAACCGATGAAACTCGACGAGTAACTTGTTCGACGAGATTGTAATCTATTAGTCGTAAAAGTGTACGTATTCGAAACGTCGAGTGTCCACGACTAATTCAACTGCCGGCCTTATGGAAGTTTTACGATATCGCGGACCCGTCTATTTTAATTAAAAACGTTAACGCTGCGTTCGCAATTACACAAATCGCAGCCAGAGTAAGGGGCACAATCTTTGCTCGTGAAAGCTCCGGCGTGACGGTCGTATTTTTCGTTGCAGCTTTAAATTACGTTATCCCTGTCCCCCGTCCAAACTCCCGATTGTCTTTCCGTATTTATCTTTATTTTTTTTTTTTCCTTTTTCGTGTAATTTGTATCTTGCGTTTATCTTGTAAATTACTCCGTCCGCGTATCTCGCGCAGTCGCCGTGATTATCATTACGCGAACCGTATTTTTCGTTGGGATCGAGGAAAAATGATCACGCGCAAGTTCTGCGCGATACTTGGTTCAAAATTCGTTCCCTAAAGCTCCGGAGTCGTCGCAATTAAAGCGTTTATTCAGGATTTCTTGGGAAACGATACAAACAAAGTAATGAAAAAGGTAACTCGGCGCTCGGACTTCCAAGATATTTTTTTTTGTTCTCTATGAATATGTTAAATCTTTGTAATAATTAATTTTTACGAAAGGAGTGTCTGACGATCAATCGATGTAAAAGATATATGTACTTAGATGTGATGCGTGTAACGAATATATGTGGATGAATTATGATTTACTTGTATCCTTTCCTTGTTTTCGTGATAAATAAAATCAATTGGAAAGTATCGGAGATGTTTTGGTAATAGTAATGGTAAGTTTTTACATTTGTTTAACTATCCTATTTTTGTAACAGCGGATCCATCGAGTACCGAAACAGTAGCATATAAAAATGTACTTTTCCAAAAATAGGAATTGTTTTTATAATCTGCCTGTCCCAGTTGTTTCTAATCGATACTGATTCGACGGTTCTATGCCGCGAGGGAATATCAGATAAATTCCTTAAATTGAAAATACGCAGCGAAAAGAAATCTAGTTATACGGATCGTTGTTTTCACAAATCATTAATTTTCACGGAGCAATCCACATTGTTGAATCAGGAGTTGTTGCGATTCCGTTTCTCGTTTTTGAGTTAGGATATTCGTCGGGCATACGGCGCACGATGCACAAGCGGGGTTGATTAATCTCGTAACGTTTCCTGACATTAATTCGCCGCAAAATGGCGGTTCGCGAACCTTCGGTACGGAGACGTTAACAGTCACGCGCTCCTTCGACAAATAATCCCAGAAACAAGGTAATCATGGCGGGGAGTTTAGCCGCAAACGATCCACGGGCATGTTCTTGTCCAGTTTGGAGTTCCCCCAACAATTTGCGTGGTCGGGCGGGCTTCGAGCCTCGACGACAATGGATTTCGTTTGGCGGAAAGCGAGTCCACGTATCAGTTTCCAATAAAAATCGCCCCGCCAATCTATTCGTATAATGGCGCGTGCTGTTGTTTCGCGGATCGAACGGTAGCTTTCGATGACGTTCTCGAAACACTTGTAGCATTCGACGTTCCTTTCTCGCGGTGCAGAATCTAGAAAAGTAATGTCGACAGAGAGATAGGGGATGAAGGGTCGCTCGCGCTTCCATTGTTTTTTCCATCGTTCGTGCGATACGTATCCCGAAACGGGGATAAAAATCTCGTGGTATAGACGCCATAGAAATATAAGTAATCTAGTATTCAAAGTAGAATTTATTCTTTGCCTATCGGATCGATGTTTCACCGTTCATTAGTATTTTATTTCGAACGTTTGTGCTTCCATTTTGCGAACTCCCGTTCGCCGGATGAAGGAAGATTGCCATCTATCATAACCAGCACCGCGTTTTTCGATGTTTTACTTATTCCCCGCGGCGAAATTCGATTCCGATGACCCGTTAACGCTGCAGTTTGCGAGCAAACGTCGAAAGTAACGTACCGGTAAGTTAATTACGTAGCCGGGGGAGTAGAGGACGTCAAAAGATTCATGAAATCGGAAACGCTAGGAAAAGTAATCCGACGCGTGCGTCACGACTGTTTAAAGGAGTATTTCGATCGGACTGGCGGGGTGAAAAATAGGCGTCCTTTGAGAATTTTTTGCGGGCAGAGTTCAACTTCGAATAATTTCAGATTTTAATATTGGGTCGTAGATTTTATTCCCTGTACCGTGGACATTTTTTATGTGTTAAAACACGAACGCAGTCCGGTTTGCAAAAATTACGAAAATACAGGCTGAATATGTTTTCGAACAATTTCTTACAGAGATAGATTTAATTTTAATCGACGGAAGAGTATTCCATGTTTTCGATCGATGCGTGCGAAAATACCGGAGAAATATATGCGATTAACGTTACTAGATCCAGGATAAACTGCAATTATTTTTCCTGATAATACGCGAGAGTTTTCTTTGACTTTTGTACGTTAATTCGCTGAACAAGCAAATCACGAACTCTCGTTTTAAAATGTGTTTCATACTGAAGTTATCAAAGGCACGCTAAAATGATTTTTAATTATTTTCACGTCTTCGCTAACTAGCGTATGTGTTTCCTTTATGTTACTCTAATGAAAGAAATCTAGATCGAAATGCTTTGAATGTAGGAACGTTCGTAATTTCGTTTTTCCTTCGATTTTTTAAAATTCGACGGATAGTGGCAGGGCTAGTTGGAAAATTAATGTCTCGATGATATAACGATCGACGGAAAAAATTCATTAATTTCTGCCCGGTGAATGTTTGCTCCTCCCACCTCTGCGGCACAACATAATCGAGAACACGATGCAGTCGACGATATAGGCGAACGAAACCAGTCGATTGTGTGCTCTATCTCTATTTAATTTGCGCCTATGGCCGCGCCAACAGCGTGGGATAACAGTTCCCACCGCTCTTTGATGCTGCACGAGGTCACTTGTTGTCGATTATCGAGCTCACCTTCGCCTCTGACATTTGAAAACCAGGACTGAAATCCTGGAAAATAATTCCCCGCGCGGAATCGAATTTCCATCTCGATTTAACGGTGTCCTCCGTATCGTTCACGTTTAACGCGCGCTCCGCCGTCGGACGATTATCATCACAGTTATAATATTTCCCGATTATATCGTGCCGGAATTAATAAGAAATGTTTATACAATCCGAAACAGGAAACGGAACACATTTTAATTAAAGGGAGGGTTTAAAACGGGGGGGGTATCGTTATTCGATCCAATTTTCCACCTAGAACGTTTATCCCCCGAAGCTTCTTCTTCATTATAGAATTCGCGATTAAAAATCCGGTAAATGCGAATAATTTCAACTGTCCACTCGCTGAACACCGCTATTTCCCCGTTTTTATCGAGTAACGCCGCCGCTCGGCAAAGTATTATTCGAATCTCCGCGTTTTAATCTGCCTGGCTAGTGTAATTACTGACTCCATTTCCTCCATACATGGTTGCGTAATAACGAAAAGAAAAAAGAAACAAAACGGAACATCCAAACGACAGTATTAAGTAGAATCACCCTTTCAGCGCTCGTACGTATATCTTAACGAGCATTTTCTAAACTATCATCGACATGCCCTCGTTGGAATTTTCCGATGTTGCATAACCGATACTTTAAGTTAGTTTACTCCGGGGACACGTTTTAATCCAGCTAGCCGTCTTCCCCTGACGTACCAACAAACAGCCATTATGTTTTATTTACAATTGTTTAGTACTTACCCTTCCGCGTTGAATAGAGGCGCGATGATAAATAGTCTGCCCTGTTCCCTGATTATACGGAACAGAATAGGGGTGGTTTAATCAAAATCGATTCGGTAGATTCTGAGTTAACTTGGTACGTACAAACAAACGATTAAATGGAAGCACCATGGAAACGACAATTTTGTACAATTTTTATTATTGTAGAATTAAGGTGAAAGAATGTCAGGAGGTCAGGCAGGTCTTAAGGGATAACGCTCTTTTAAAGTAACAATGTATTTAAGTAGATTAAAATAGACTTCTACTCTGACAATTCTCTTTAAAACTTCTTATCTCCGCTCTCTACAACTCTCTGTTCTCGATTAACTTTCAAGACCCGCGACGGAAGGACTCCCCCGTCTTTCACTTTTTGTTTAGACAGACTTACGCGCGCCTACGACACAAATTCACGCGTAGTATGAAACAATACGTTTCGTTATTCCTCGTTTACATGCTCGATCGTAAACCCGGTAAAAACGATCCGTTGATAATTAATTTCTCCGTTTAATTTCACCCAGGAAATTCATTTTATCCCAACTGTGTTTCTAAATGTACGTGCAAACAAATACCGACTAGTGTTCGCGTACGCAAGAACACGTCGACTGAAATTACGTTAACGTATGGTCGACGGAATTGAACAATCATCGCGTCGTTTCCCATTGTACCGTTTAATAATTAATATTTAACAATTACTGGCTCGGAGATATTACCCCACGACTCGTTGTTTCCGCGTTGGTAAAAATTTTCATACTTAGGGATTTCGTGTAGAAACTATGAAACCGCGTTGTTGCTTGTCGCCCGCAGCCCGGGCCTAGTTAAACGCTCTCGAGTAAACTTTAACAGTTCTGATTTTGAAATGTTGTGCTCGCGATGTAAACCGAATAACAATATAACAGGATTCCGTGGTTTCGTGATGCACGTGACTTCCACCCTCCGAAATAAATTTCGTCGCTGTTTGATACTCGAATTCGATGGCCGTGTGAAAGAACGACGGTGGGAAACGGAAGTAGAAGTAATAATTTGAGGACAAGCGAACGAAACGAAGTTGGCCGGAAGGGCGGGTAATCGGTACCGCGTATCCCCCGTCGCGCTATTTAATTTGCGTTCGCGGCGACGGCGTAAGGTTACACCGGGTTCCCTTGCTCTTTGAGGTCGTCGGTTGATGGTCGTCGGTTCGCTGGACGACGGTGGGTGGGGGGCGGCGGTGATCCCGACGGTGTTACGCGGTGGATACTGCACGGAACACGGGCATCGCCGTAGTAGGACGATGCTATGGGGAGGGGGAGGGTGGCAAGCTGGACAAGGACGCGAAGAGGGAGGAGTTGTACCTGGATAACGTAGCGGCCAGGGGTGAGCTCGCAGGGGTGGAGGGTTCCCTGGTGCGCGGGCTGAGCTGCGGTCGGAGGTTCCTCGTAACCACGCGGATGTACGCGTACTTAGTCCTGTCTGTGTGCAAGCGTGTATGTGTGTGTGTGTGTGCAACCCCCGTGGCCCGTGGCTGGCTGACGATCGGCGCAGGATGTCTGAGAGGGTGGACCGAGGGACGCCGAGGACGGTCGAGGATTGCCGAGCGGGCACGAGCCGCGAATCGCCGCGGGAACCTGTCGCGCGCGACACCGGAGTCCGGACTCGAACAGTCTCTCACCGGCGCCCGACGCGGCGAGTGCTCGAGAGACAGGATTCATCGCGCTGCTGCGCGAACCGTGGTATATAGTCTCACCGAGAACGACTATACGACCGAGTAACAGACGCATAAGGGAGTAGCACTGTAGACGGTGGAACTCCGGGCGGGGGGCACGAACCGGACGGCGGTCAACCTGCCCGTCCTCGAGGTTCTACCCCGAATCGGTGTCGCCATGATCGAAAATCGTTCGGAGAGTGGACGGTGCGCCAGGATGCGACGCTATCCGCTCGTCGATCCTACGCGCCACGTGGCTAGGAGCCTGTCCTTTTGGATCGTCGTCATCAGCATCGTACGGGGTAAGCGAACCAATTCACACGTTTGTCGATGCACGACGCGTCTTCCGCGGGCGGAGGTAGATCCTGCTGCGAGGGCAGAAGCGTGACGAGTAAGAGCGATCAGAAGGGTCACGGAAGACAACGTTGGGATTCGCTGACCGTGGCGGATCCCTCGGTCCCCTTTGAATTAACAGAATCGCAGCAGTTCCTTGGAGATCCCTACAGGGATCGAGACTTTTTTGGCTGGTAGTTTTATTGGTTTTATCGGGTTTGTTCATACGTGGAAGTCTATCTTTTGCGAGAACGAGAAAATGTTGGGTAGATGTTCCGAAAATGTCCCCCGATACGTGGAATTTTTTATGTTTAATTGGAACGAACTTTCTTCGTAGAGACTAGAGACTAAAATGTTTGCAGTAATTTGTCAAATATTTAATGAGATTTAACGTTTGCTCTGGTTCGTAAAAAATCAGTGTCCGTCTATAGTGCGAACAATAACGAATTGAATCATAGTGGGCAGCGTTGTATTTCAAACGGAACGTTCGATTTATTCGTGTATTTTCCTAAAGATCCATTTATTTTAAAAACGATAGTGTACTTCGTAAAATTGGCATCGTTATGAGACTTGTTAAATATAAATTTATTCAGGCCATTTGAATACGACCCATCTCTTTGCTATCGCAAGAGCTGCTATTATTCTTGTCCTGTTTGTTCAATAAACAACCAACATCTGCCGATCTCCATGCGTTCACATATTCGGCAGAACATTAAGCAACATGTATAACAATATAGAGGCAGATTCCTATTCTCATTTCCTTTGATTCTAAATCATGAATATGTGTAGGAATATGTTGTAGCAAAGAAAAGTCATTTCGAACGTTAAATCTCTACCCAGTATAGATTCTCGTGTACACATATTTTGTTCTTATTTTCGTGTTCATCGCGACGAATGAAATCGTTGACTAAAATTGAAAATAAAACATTCGCGAGTCAGGTGAAAACGGAGGGAAACTAGTACGTCATAGAATGGAAATGGGGTCAGATTGCAAAACAGTAATTCGTTGAACCTCACCCTTTCACCTTGCATTCTCTATTACCGGATGTCATGTTTTCCACATGCTGTCACGGAGATATAGAAATTGATGTCCCCGACGTGAGAAAAATCTCCGTTTTTCTCCGCAAAATGTTTCACCATGACAATCCAATTATTAATTTATGCTACACGATATTTTTACCGACAGTGAATTCATTTCAAAAATCTCCTTTAAAAATTCACCTCGGTTCGTCGTTTCCCAGTTTAACGTAAACGGCGAGTATTATTACGTCGCGCAATGGAATTAGGATCACGTTGCAAACTATCACAGAAATTTGTTGAAAATTCACCCTTTCGCCTTGCGTTCTCTACTACCACACGCAAGAAAAATCTATCGTTTGCTCACCTTTGGCACCACCTCACACTCTGAAAGTTCTATCGTTGGAAAATTCCTCGAAGCTGATCGAGAATCGTTGCCGCTCGGTTGTTAAGGCTCCCGTCGTCTTCGTAGCTTGTAATTCGTACGGGATCGCAGTATTTGTTTCGCCAAGTATAAGCTCCGTAGTTTCGTTCGTACGAGTTCCCCTCGTCGGATTACGAATCGAAGAGGGGATCGAAAGTTCTTGCTACTTCGTAACAGGCAAACTAGTCCACCTTTGATCCCCCCGGAACGGGGCAAAACTGCGGCAAAAAGCTAACGAACGACCAGAAAGTCCGTGACTCGAGTCCAAATAGATTTCGGTAAGTTCGCGGCAGCGAGGGGACCCGGGGCACGCTCGTCCTGGCGTTGTTATTTTTGCGGCTCGTTAAACTGTCCCATTCGTAGAGAAAACGCGATTATTCCGAACAGGGAACGTATCCTTCAATTTACTGGAACAACGAAATTGTAACGGGTGGCTAACGTCGATCGTCTCGAACATCCTTGAGTCCTGACCCATATCGGATTCCATGCATCACTGTTCTTCGTAAACAGCTTTTAATATTTCTCAAGTATAGTTTTTTAAATTTGGAACAAGTATCCTTGTAACACACAATATTGTATTTATTCCACTTCTAATACAAATTGATCACAATTGATCCATCTCTGAGATATATTTGTTCGCTATTTTTAAGACTTTAATTCGAATCTTGATGGAACCCCTCGAGGCAATGCTTTCCAAAGTTTCTATAATTAATATATTGTCCCTGTTTAACCAACTTAGGGGTTGCTGACCCACTATTTTAGAAAACATTTACCAGAACCCTCCCAAGCAACGAATTTCAGAAAATATTTCTCCGAACCGGCGATAACAAGCCAGCAGAATTGAATGCAGCTGGAAATATTTGTGAAATAACAGTTAGCCGAATCGCTTAATTGGCCCGTCGGCGCAACAATGCTGGTCGGGGTTGTTTTCCTTCGAGCCAGCCGTCCCCGTTCCGCGCGATCAACGACGTCGTGCATTAAAAAGAGAAGCGAAAAAGCTAATAATCGTTAGAACGATAAGTAAGCAGCGTGGGTTACCGCGAACCGTGCTGGTCTCGATGGAAAATATCGCCGATAAAAGTGGCTCTCCTGTACGTTCTCCTCGGTGGCGTTACGCACGATACCGTGGACGGCGGTTTATCGCGCGCTCCTCTTAAAATTTAAACTGCCTCCGCCAAACCGTTGCTGGATTTATGGCGCGGTGTGAAACTTATAGCCCCCCTCTGGTTGTATCGCGAACGAAGAAAGGGGACGACGGATTTCGCGCAGAAAGTTTAATAGCCGATGGTCAATGAAAATTCCTCGCGATGCACGCCATGGTCGACGTTGATCGGCTTTTCTTCTTACGGTTGCGTCCGGTTTTCGTTTCCCGCGACCCCGTAAAGACCTTGCCGTGATTATATATAAAAGACAAACGATACGAGAAGTTTCACAAAGTTCGACGACCAAGTTTTCTCGGTTTTTCGCGGACGTAATAATTTGGGATTAGGTTGCGATCCAATTCGTCCAATTTCACATTGAAATCGTTTCGATTAAAATATCACGCGTACGATTTGAAAGCAATCGGGGTTGTTGAACGCGAGAAAATTTTAATTGGTTGGTTCCTCACGCCCCTCTTTTCCCAACGTTCTCCTCGAAAGATTGTTTACAGTTCGAGAGACTGCCTCGTCCATTAATTAACGAAATGTAGGTTGCTCTTGAGAGGAGATTCGTTACGAAAATGGATCGTGCACGGGTGTAAAGGTATTCCAGAAAATGTCCGTATAATAGAACGACAGATCGCGTTAAACGTTTCGTCTGATCTTTTGTCACGGATGCAAAGTCGTTAACAGTATCGTCTCAGTCAGATGTATCGAACTCGTATCTCGAAAGCAATTCGCCGCGTCTTGTGAATCGCTAAGTAGAATTCGCTTCTTATTTACGTTTTCCTCGTTTCGGTCCTTTTTCCGCGGCTTTAATCGAGATAAGAGCTTTTCACGGTTCGTCGACGAGTATCAATATCGTTTTAAAAAGCAGATTTCACGCAGCTTAACTTCCCCCTCGTTGGTTAACGATTCGCGATTCGGTATTTCTTACTGTCTGTAGCATTCTCGCGATCAGAAAACAGAATATAGGAATTCCGATAGGAGCGTCGTCGATCTCCTGCCACTGAGGTTCCATTTCCTTTCTGTCAGGACTACGTAACCGCGACAGGGACGCTGGATCAGAGACATCCTGGAACGTCGAATTGATTAACGTTGAATTAACCACTTAACGCCTGGAATTCCATGACAAGCTGTCCCGAACATTAAGGGCTACATATTATATACACAACACGTAATTATTATCTATAGTATAACGGTAAACACGTTCATCGAGCTTCCGTTTCATTTAAAATTAATTGGATATCCAGACCCCGTGATTTACAGAACATAAAAACTTTGGATCTCGACAAGACCTCCTTTAATATTCATCGACGGAGTTTCTCGAGCATAAATACGCATTATGAACAATTTCTTTCGCGCGATAGTTCGATTTTAAAGGTTCCTGTTTACGTGAGAGATTTTTACTAGGTGCAGTCAGGGGTTAATCGATCGAGATGCGAGATGTTCGGCGGTAATGTCGGTTGGAATCTCGTGAAACACGTTCGGCGGGTCGGGAACGATAACGTTCAGTGGCCGCGTAATCGCGCGATAAAATGCAAAGGGGTTCCCGGATCCATCGAGATTGTTGGACCGAATTCCGTGATGGCGTCGGGAATCACCTTAAAACTTTACTGCGCGCGAATCGCGGGGATCTACGTACGCGGTATTGCACGGCTGCATCGCGAAATTAGTCCGTAGTCAAACGGGGAAGGGAAGACCCTTGAGTGTGAAGTTAACTTCCGGACTTGACTCTTGAATAGTAACAACCGGGTCACCTGCCAGACGTCGACCGCAAAGGACGTAGGGGCTGGAAGACGAGGACGAAGCTGGAACCGCTCGTACGACGTTAATCTCTTCGCGTGTTGTCTGAAAAGTGTCCATTTTCTTTCCACGTCGACCAGTTCGTGTCGAATTTTAGACTTGTAGTCTCGAACGTTTCGATTCGGTGTTTGAGTGAATTTCGATACAAAGACGTTGGCAAAAGTTATATAAAACTATCGAAAAAGGGAAACTTGTATTCGTTACAAGTCTACCATAAATATAGTGATGAAGTATGGATTGGAGAGGACCTCGGTTCGCATGACTATTTTAACGATAACCATTGTGGGGGTTGATGAAACTTTTCGGATTTTCGGTAGCTTGTTCCGTTACCAGTGTCATCGATTCACGGGAAGCGTTTTTGCGCTGAACCCATTTTTGGAACTGGGTATCCGGTAACTGATGCCGCAAACGGAAATATGATCATTCTACACGAGAAAATGAAAATATGGAATAAAGGATTTTCGTATGGGTTCTTGTTTTCGTGATAACCAATGTGAAAAATTCATTCGATACGCGCGTCATTGATTATGCATTGTTATAACAAAAATGTTCAACAAATTTATTGTACGAGTAGGGAACGAAC